CTGGCGATGACGCAATCTGTGCGTACCTGATAGATTCGAGATCAGGTGACGGAAAACAATCCCGTCTTTTGACTTCACCGTATGCCAAGGGTTTATGAGGAGAGGAGCGTATCAGAAACCCTTGGCTAGCGAAGATGGTGGCATGGAGGAGTAAGCATCCCCTGCCGACCGGTCACACCCGCCGTGTGCTCCTTGTCATGATCGGGAAATAACGGAAAAAATCCGTCGTCAATTCAGTGTATAAATAATGGACTAACAATCAGTATGAAAAACGTCAATCAGCATTTGACTCAATGATAAACTGTATTTGCTGACAAGGTCATTGTTTCGACCATAGAACTTACGAAATAATGACTTTAAACGCGACTGCTGATATTCTTGATATTCTCGTTTTAGAAATTGCTCATACGTAGAGCATGCTCTTGCGTATCGAATCATCTGAGGTATATAATCTCTGTATGCAGGTGATGAAGGTATATTGCTGCATAAGTAAGGGAAGTTAACGATAGAAAAGTTAAAGGCATCACGTTTATCTTACATTGTAATTAACTTTTGAAATAATTCTTTGAATAAATGTTTTTACTGTATACGTTAAGTAGTTCTAAAACCAATTGTTGATGTCGCTAAGAGAGTAACGAACGACAACTCTGGATTAGACTATTGATTCTGTCTTTGATTAACACTTTCATTTTTGAACGATTTCTTTAAAACCTTTGAGCGTTTGCAATGAAATTTTAAATCTTTACATAGTATGGATGTGTACACCATACTCCTGTCTAATAAATTATGAAATAAAAGTTGCATGTAATTAGACAACATGAGCACTACTTCTGTATAAAAGTTACTATTTTTGTAAAAATATAATTATTATCCTTTATTCCATTCTTAAACATCGACGACAAATAGAGAGAAAGAGGATTTTCACTTCACTTGACTAGGAAACATGGGTTTCGAGGGGATTTATTCAATGGAATAATATCACTGTCATGCTGTAAATCTACAACATGACAACTTTTCTATTAAAGCGAGGCTCCCACCTAGGTTGATTTTTATTCTCCTTTGATACTTTTGGAGGAGAGTAAGGTTTAATAGAAGGGAATTATGACTCTAGACATTCCCCTAGGGGGAAAACTCACTCTAGAGCAAGGATTCCAGAGCAAGTCTCACTCTGGCATGGGAGGGGGTTATAATTATTCAAATCAAGTACGTTATCCACGTATCCCCATTTTGAGTAGTTGATATCACCAATTCGAATAATAGGGGATATCAACTACATGTATTTATATCAAATAGGTAAATTCCTTTATTCGGAAAGGTTATATTACCTATTCGAACACGTAATATCTATATGAATGAGTGATACCACCTATTTGAATTATTGAAACTACAAAATAGCAATAAATACCAAAACAACACCATAAAAATGTGACACCAGAATCGATTTTATCAGTATAAAGTATTTTAAGCCTTTGACAAATTTACATCAATCCAACTTTACTTCTGTAATTGACTTTCTTATCATGTTTATCCTAGCTGCATTAAAAGTACAGCATGAACAAAACAAGATGTATTAGTGAAACACAGATACCACGTTTGGTCTATCATGCATGTACAAGGTTAAAATTTTCAAATATAGGTCAAATCAATGTAGGAAAAGGTCAAAACCTTAACTGTTGATCCTGAATACACATGTGAAATAATAGTCCTATAGAACCAATAATTCTGTAAATGAAGCCCAGGTTAAATATGATGATGGTGCTCAAGAAAAATCTAGAAGTATGAAATTATACACAAACCAAACAAAAAACAAAACCTCCAACTTCAAGCTTTCAAAGGTGTAAACCAGATTTTGGTATTTTGTTTGGCAATAGTATGATAAATTAAAAAGTATCTTTCAAAAGGTCAAAAATATTGGTACCGAAGGACAGTTCTTGCAACAAAGACTATGAAACCCCTAGCACCAGCCATTCAAAAGTAATGGGCAAGGTAAAAGTTTTTGAGGACAAACAGATGAACAAGTTATCAGACAGACAGACTATCAATCTTCGATTGCAAAGGGAAAAAATTAGATTAACTATAGGGTTCTTTAGTACATACTCAATCCTTGAAATTATTGTGAAACTTTTTAGAGATTTACAGTTTTAAATTCTGATGAATTGCACACTAATATTAATGAACATAATTTTTTAAGTATAAATACAATTCCCTTAATTGATGCTTTTATTAACTGTGTTAAAAACTTTGATACTATATAGTAAACTACTGGTAACTATATAGTAATTTTGTGTTAAGACAACTCCTACAAACTTGTATTGTGTTGATCCTCTGAACTGCCATACATTGTAAATACATGCATCAGAACTCTATATTAAACTTACCTGTGTAATCCAGATACCCTTTTCCTCCGGAATCCACCTCGTTAAAGAGTTCCTCTACTTTCTTTTTGGTCATTTCATTGTTGTTGAACATCATTACGGCCTGGAATTCACTGAGTGAGATCCGCCCGTCCCCGTTCTTGTCCAGGAGGTTAAAGGCCGCCTTCATCCGCTCCTTCTCCATGTCAATAGACACGTAATTTGCTGACATTATTTTGACATACTCCTCCAAAGATATAAATCCATCACCTGCAAACACAAAATTAGCATTTATAGACATTTCTAGAGAGGTGTTCTAAAAAAAAAGTAGTGATTTTATTTTCGTAGTCTCTAAGCCGCTAGTTTTATGGCTAGGTGTATTATTTGTTGTTAATGTCCCTCTCTAGAAGTTTCACCATATGGAGAGGCCACCAATTGATCTGAGGTTAGAAACTTCCAAAATTCCAATGTTGGAAAAAAAATTACCTCTGCCAAGCACTTCTCAAAATATACTGTACTCGAAGTTATGGAAATGAGTTGAGGATATATAAAGGGTGTTAAGAAAGTTCATTCCGTATTTTTCATTTATTTTCAAAAAGAAATACGATGAGAAGCTATTTACATTTTGTGATATTTTATGTTTACAGAGAGTCCATTCTTGCTACTGTTATGGTTTTTACTGTCTTTTGTTGAATCAATAAGGGGAGGGCAGGTATTAAAGTAGATGATGTCTGTACAGAAAAATTAGGGATGACGCATATTTGTGACATATATTAAGCACACGGGTCAAAGCATCTTTTCAAATACTATGCAAAAATTATCAATTCGGTGAAAAAATTCAAAATGACAAAACTATTCTTTTGAAAAGTAATCTATCGATTTTATACCTACGCTTATCAGCTTCTCTGATGTAAGATAAGCTATGAAGAAATAAAAGTAAATTATCCTTTATTTTTCACACAAAATGACCAGCATTTCTTATTTTCTATCATTCGAGTGCTATAAAGATAACACATATATTTTCAATTGGAAGAAAAATTCTATAACTCCCTGCTATAGGAGTGAATTGCTATAAATTTAAAGCACACTCTTGTGATTTTGTCAGACCTGAAAATTCATCTCTTTAGTTAAGCACTACTTTGAAATTTTTGAAAATATTTCATCATGGAACGAACTTTCTTAACACCCCTTAGGTAAACTGACCGTCTACATCCGCCATGGCCCACCAGTCTTCGAGCTCTTTAGATGTAGGATTCATTCCCACAATAAAAGCTGCGTCATTCATTTCCTTTCTTGACAGTCTGCCATCTTGGTTTGCGTCGATAATGAAAAAAGAACTCACTATTTCTGTCAAATAAAAAATGAGAGTGATTTTTTTTTACACTGAACCTTTACAGTAGAAAAGTAACATATTAAGTAATGCACGATATTTATATAATAGAAATAAGGGAAAACGGGAAAATAATAAGATATGTTTGTGAAATACTGATGCCTCTGCATGGATCAAGACCAAGAGTTCAAAAATGATTCGTTATCTCCATCCTTTTTCATAAATAAGTTAATGTAACAGGAATTCCAACAACCTCGTTTACAGCCAGTATTTTGTAGGTGGTAGGGTCGCTATAATGACCTTATTAGAAAATATAACCAATATTTAACCATATGATTTGCTCGTATTTTGGCTGACCTGATTCATAACAATTGTTCGGCATTTGTTCTTATACTGAATTTGACTTTGGAATGTTCCACCTGATATATAGGATCAGGGCGGGTGACTGTCAACAGGGGATGTTTAATCCTGTTAGGCACTCAATCCCACCAGTTTTTATGCGTTATGCCCTCGTCATAAATTTGATTGTTATTGACTTGATATGTTGAGCACTTTTCGTTGTCTTCACCTTTTTTAAATTTTAACGTTTAAATACATATGCAAAATATAAAAGCCCTAGCACCAACCGTTCAAATCTAATGACCAAGGAAAAAGTTTGATAAAATTTTGCTGAAGTAGGTCAAACTCAAAAGTTCAATATAATTGTACCTAAAGAAAAGATATGCTGGGAATGGGGAATGAAGAGGACAACATGTATCTCGAATTGATATTAGGGATTTCTATTAAACTTTAGATACATTCTCACATAATTTCAGACTTAAGTGCAGTCTCAAGAAATCTTAAGATAAATTCGACAACTACAGAATTTTAAAACCTCTCAAAGATCTGAGATCTAACAACCTTTGGAACGGAAGCCAAACCGGGTTTAATTTACATCATCGTGTATGTTTTTATTTTTTTTTCTCTGCAATTTGGCTTTTGCTATACATTACGAGGGATGTTCAATAAATAATGTCCTCGGTGCTTTTTTAAGAAATTTTGAAATGTTAAAATATTAGACTGATATGGTAAAATATTTGACTAATTTTGAGTTGGTTATGGCACTGCCTTAACAATTAAGTGAAGTGAACTACAAAAAAGTTGACTTCATAAATATATTTGAATCTTATTTACATACTTTAAATTCCTTTATATTATATGGAATTT